GGGCCTCCCGAGCCCCTTCCCGCCTGTCAGGGGCGAGGATCCGGAAAAGCCTTTTTGCCCCGGGTCCTGGGCTGCCCCAGCCCCCGATGGCTGGGGACCCCCACCCCCGAGGGGTCTCCCCAAAGCGACTGCTTGCCCCCCACGACCTGGGGAGTGAGGGGACGGGCACCCCCCAAGGCCTGGCCTGAAATATGCACGCGGGCGCCGCCTGGACGTCCCCAAGCCCCACCCCAAGGAGCTCCGTCCAGCGGAGGGTGGGAAGCGGAGGGGAAACAGGATCCCTGACGGCAGACGGGGCCCAGGATGGCAAGAGGTCACGAATTTCAGTTGCCAACCACCCCCCTTGCAGGCTGTGGCCAGCCGGCGCCTGTGGGACATGTGGGCCACGTTTGGGGCAGAGAAGGGTGAGGGTGACTTGCCCCAGCTCGGCGACCTCTGGAACTGCCTCCTTCCTTCCGGGGGCCCTGCCAGGTGCAGGGGTTTGAGGGTTCAAGCTGGCTCTTGCAGTTCTCGGGCCCAGGGGGAGCCCTCCAGCTGCCTGCCCCATGCCCTGTGCCCTGTGTCCTGTATCCTGACATGTGTGTGGTCTGGTGAGGGAGGGGGTCTCCAGGGTCTGCCCCTCCTCTCGCTGCTCTGGGGCTTGTGACCCCCCCTTTTCCCCTCACCATGAGAAGAGAGGGAGAGGAAGAGAGGAGGAGGCCCCTCCACTCTGCACACAGCCCAGTAACCCCACAACCCCTGCATGAGCCATCGCTCGCCCTTTCCACCATACTTGCAAACCCGGAAGGCAAGGAGCGGATGCTGAGGGCCTAGCTGGGCCTCTGTCATCCAATGGGGAGCCCTAAAAACAGCCCGGGGGGTTGGGAGGGTAATAAATGTCATCTTGGCATTGTCACTTGGGCATGAAGATGGTCTCGGGGGGTTGGGGGAGTCCCTGAACGCTGAGGGGGGCAGCTCCCCTGGACGGCGGCTCACCTCCAGTCCCAGGAAGTGAGAGTGAGGTGTGTCTAGCCGCATCTCCCTCCTTGCCCCAACCACACACCAGGCAGTGATGGTGACTCATGGTTCCCAGTACAAAGGAGAGACCACTTCCCCGCTGGGGCAGAGGCGACGCCAGCGCCCCCAGCCCCATCGCGTCTCTGAGCCGCTCGCGTCTTCTGGAATGGACCTGCCGGCCAGGGAGCCCGGTCAGCCTTGGTCCCCGGCTTGCCTGTCTTCTGGGGAGCACAGGTGGGTCACATTCATAGTGTTTTGGGGCTCTGCCGGAGGCTGGGTGGGAGCGCGGGAACAGCTCCTTGCTCCTAGTGTGGAAGATGGGGGTAGGGGCAGGGGGACAAGATAAAGCATTGAACCACTCGGATGTGGTATGAAAACCACTGCTCAGGGGAGAAAACAGGAAGGGGTCTAGCCCAACTGGGGTGGGGGTCAGGGTAGCTTCCTAAGGCGGAATCTTGAAGGACCAATCGGACTTCTCTCTGGCTTAAGATTTGGAGGAACCACCACTGTAGCCAAGTTGGAGGGGGGCGGCGGGAGGTACAGCGTGCTTGGGGTGGGGGCTTAAGGACCAATGGGACATAAAAGCCTGGGAGTTGCTGAGGTGTGAGGGGACGGCTCTCTCTTCTCACGGAAGACTGGGTCTGCAGGGGAGCTCCCAGGGGGACGCCAGGGGTCCCCAGGCTGGGAGGCAGCACGCTAAGAGAGGGCAAGGGTCCCGAGTGGTTTCCTCGGCTCTGATGGTCTCCAGGGAGGAGAAGCTGTGACCAGCCAGCTCCTGGAAGTTTCTGGAGGGAAGGTGGGTGCAGAGAGAAGGTCCCCACTAGAGAAGTGCTGCTGAGACGGGCACTACGGAGACCTCCCCACGGAGGGGCAGGGCAAGGATGAACAAGGAGGGACCATGTCTCTTCTCCCTTCTCCCCTCTCTTGTCCGTGACTGTGCTGCTCTGAAGGGAAACGCAGGGTCCTGGAGCTTGGGGGTGCCGGGCGTGGGGCAGCAGCGGAGGGAAGAGCAGGAGGAAGTGGGGACGCAGGGGAAGGCTGGTGGCCCTTCTGGGAGCAAGATGGGCAAGCGGCACATCCTGGGAAGCTGAGGGGCCGGGATGTGTCAGGGAGGAGGGGCGAGCTAGGGACACGGGCGCGGAGACTTGACATTCAGGTCACCGTGGAGGGGATCAGGTGGCGCTGGTGGCCTTTCCATTTGCTGAGGGAACAGAAATCCTGCAAGGGGCCCGGGCCAGCGAGGAGGAGTTGAATCTGAGGTTTGCCCGAGGATCGGGGCCGAGGGGATCTTTAGGGCCAGTGTCCCAAGCAGGAGCCAGGAGGGCAGGAGGTGCCCTTGGCCCGTACGCACGAGGGCTCACCGTCACACACACGCTCACACGCACACCCTGAGGCTGGGATGAATGGGACGATGTTCTTGGCAGGGCTGTACCCTGAGAAGGGAGCTGAGCACCTGAAGCAATCACTTTAGGGTGGGTCCAGCTTAGGGGCCGTTTGCAAGATCCTGGCCTGGGGGAAAGGTGTGGGCTGCTGGGCTTGGCAGGAAGAGGGGGTTTCATGTTTCTGAGCGTTTTCTGAGTTCCCATGGATCTTCCCTGGGCCTGGAGCTAAAAGGAGGGAGGCTGTGGGAACAGGAGCTCCTGGCACCCGTGGCTTCCCGGAGGCCCAAGTTGCTCCCACTGCCTGCCGTACCTGGAGCCCCAAGAGCAGGTGAGGTCTGAGGATGTTGGGGAGAGCCAGGATGGAGGGAAGGGTCCGGAAAAGGTCTCTGCATTTGCGGGGTATGGGGGGAACAGGACAGGGACTTGGGGCTTCCAGGTCTGGTTATGGCAGCTTCTGTGATGAGGGGGAGTGGCCTGGTGGTGGCAAGGAACTGAGATAGGACTGAGCCAAAGATGTGAGGGTGTGTGTCTGTGGGTCTATGTGTCTGTCCATTTGTTTGCATGCCTCTGGGCTTGCCTGCATGTGTCTATGTCAGTGTGTGTCTTCCTGTGTGTATGTATGTGAGCATGTGTCTTGATTTGTCCACGTGTGACTGTGTATGTATTTGCGTGTGGGAGGGGTAGTGCACAGGGAAGCCCTTGCAGGTGGTAGATCACTGTTCAGCATGTTGTGGGGCTGGACTCCTGGCCATGGCTCTTTCTAGAAGGAGCCTTGTAGGGCTTTCAGAGGCCGGTGCCCTTGTGAAGTGTTCTGTACACTCCTTGGCTGCACCCGGCACCAGCTTGCTCACCTTGGCCCTCAGCGCGGACAGGAATTCGCTGTTGATGTGGCGTTGCGAAAGACTGTTTGTGTGCAGGAAGCCTGGTTATGAATGGAAATGTATGCGCGTGCCTGTGGGGTCAGTGGGACGGCCCTGGCCCTGGGGCCCTGCCCCATTCTCCAAGCAATTACCCAGTGCTCGCTGCCCCGGAAGTCCCACCTGCTGACTACCAAGTGATGTTAGATTAGAAAGAATTCCACTCACCTGCCGGGTCCCACTGATCCCTCACCTGCCAGCTCCTCCTGCCAGGCTGGCTCTGGGAAGTGGGTGAAAGGCGATGCCAAGACCAACGCGTGGGCCCCTGGCCACCTCCCAGGGGGTGATGCTCCTCTGATACCTGGTGTGGAGGCAAGAGGGACGGTGTCAGCCACCCAGGAAAGGTGGCAGGGGAGCCGGGGAGGCTGGCAGCTTCATTCTGTCCCCTCCCTCCCCAGGCAGCCCAGGCACTGGTAGCAGTGGCGGCGAGGCCGTGGCAGCGTTCCCAGCAGAGGATGCCCCCGGCCCTGGAGCGCGCTGAGGGCTGCTGGGCCTGGGTGGTCCTGCTGGCCGCCGTGGTGACCCAGGGCCTCACCCTGGGCTTCCCCACGTGCATCGGCATCTTCTTCACTGAGCTACAGCGGGAGTTCCAGGCCAACAACAGCGAGACCTCCTGGTTCCCCTCCATCCTGACGGCCATGCTCCACGCGGGGGGTAAGCAGCCTGAGGAGGGGCCAGGGAGGGGCACGAAGAGCCACAGCCTCGCTGGCCTCGCTGACCTCCTGCGTCCTCTCTTGGAGGCCACAAGCTTTGCCTTTCGGGTGAATTCCTAAGATTTCACTGGATTTCAGCAGGGCCCGCTTGCTCCCTGGCTTGGAATCCCACTCCCCGGGCTGGAATCCCGCTGGGCGGGGCTGGGTGGGGCGGGACGGGGCTGGGAAAAGGCTGGGGTGGCACCTTAGATGCTAAGCCAGTCCTCTCAATGGCCACTGCGGGATGGATCCAGACTAGAGGAGGCGCGGCCTGGGGTCCAGCTGGGAGATCACCCTGAACCTTAGTTCCTTCCCCTGCAACATGGGGGTGACACCCGGCATCCTGCCCACCTCACACATGGGATCGTAGGGAGATCACGAGGGAGGGAAATGTCACCCGCTGTGAAGGCTTGTATCCTGGAGCTCTTCATCCGGGCTTCAGACAGGAAGGGGGCTCTTTGAAGACACCAGGAGCAGGATGAGGGCATTGCCAGAGCCCCATCTCTCACCAGGCAGCGAGGGGGAGTTGCAAGGGCTGGGAGATGGAGGAGGCAGCGCCCTCATTTCCTGGTGGGCTCCTCCAGGACTGTGACCACCTCACCCTGACCCCAGCCATCGGGGAAGGTCAGGAGCTGTCCAGGCAGTCTGCACAGCAGCCTCGGGCTCAGGGGCCTGCCCCAGCTTCTGGTTGCTGTGGCCTCCAGGGAGACTCTGCTGTGGCCTCCAGGGAGACTCCGCAGGGGCCTCCAGGGAGGCCTGGTCACCTGGAGCGGGGTCTGGTGGGGCTGCAGGGCTCGCCCTGCGTGAGGGTGTGGGGTGCTTGCCTAGCAGACCCCACCTCCCTGCCTACCTCCAGCCACTCCCTCCACCTGGCACCAGTAGCCTGCTTGTTCTTCCACTTCCTTCCCTCCAATCGGGAGGGAGGTCAGACTGCGAGGTGCCACCTTTGCAGGAATGACCCTGAACCTGTCACCCCGGGGCATGGGCTCAGGGCAAGGGGAAAAGGCCAGGCCGAGCCCAGACCGCATGACCTTTTCACTTGCGAGGTTGGTGCAGAAGTGGGCATCGCAGAGGGCTCCTTCCATGCATCCAGATGGGTCTGGGCCAGAGGCTGGGAGCCGGGCATCTAGTGGGACCCCCACTCGCCAGCCAGCTTTCGACTCACTGCCCCCTGGCAGGCTCTCCAGCATCTCAGTCGGCTTGGGACTCCTGTCTGTCTCGTCTGTCTGTCTCTCTCACACACACACCTTTAGCCCATGCTCAGAGATTGATAGACATTTTAAACTGGAAAGTATCGTTGATCCTAAGCGCCCCCCCCCCCCCCCCCCCCCCCCCCCCCCCCCCCCCCCCACC